CCGGCAAAGGGCAGCCGCCATGATCCCCACAATGCCTTGCGCCACGGGCCACTTCCGGCGGGGAGACCGGAAGGCGAGGACTACGGGTCGAATTACTGAACAGGACAACGTGCCCGAGTCCAAGATGGTGGCGCCACGGCTTCGATCTCGTGGGGGGTAAATAGCCAGCGGCCCCGCCCCTTGCCAGTTTCACAGATGGCCGCCATGAGTCTCCTGCTCCGGGCAGCGGCCGCTTTGGGGACTCGCAAGGTCCTGTTCAGGGCGGCAGGCGGGGGACGTGTCTCCTTGCTGGGCAGAAATGTCGTGTCCTCCGGCATCATCGGTATGGAGCCCCCGGGCGGGGGCGGGGAGTTCGGTGTCCTCTGTAGCGGGGTGACCTTGGGGAGCGAGGCGGGGGCTCGGTGTCTCTGCGGAGCTGGTGGGTGGGGCGGGGGGTCGGGTAGTTGGGTTTCCTCTGGGGAACGGGGTACTGTAGGAAGAGGGAGGTGGGGTCTCCATTGGTGGACGGTCGAGGGGCGCCTGTGGGGGAGGGGGAGGGGAGTAGTCTGGAGGACTTGGGTTTTATTCCTGATTCTGCCACTCTTGTTGTGTGATTGATTGTGAGACCGGGGCCCATTGGTACCAGCTGGCAAAGGGTTCCCTGTTCTGTAACACTAACTCCTGTCAGGCCTGATAAACTCACTGCACCTAATGCACTGCTTTCATAGTATTTGTCTATGAAGACTTTCATGTGAGGCTTTACATGAAAGCCAGGATCATGCTGATCATTAATCTTGTTGTAAAATGTATGGTACAAACACTATATAAAACGTTATGTATGTGTAATGAAAATGTTTTAAAGGCTGTGTCCAAGGCAGTTCTGACAAACAGGTTTTGGTTCAGACAAAGGATGTTGATTGGGATTCACATGGTCTCTCTGTTGGTCATGTAGATTAAGCACTGTAAAGCAATATAGTGAAAGCTCTGTTTACATATGGAATCAATAGGAAAGGTGCGTACAGGAAAAGAAAACAAGCCATAAGGCTTAGCCTGGCCACTGTGCAAAGACAGTGAACTTTGGGATTATTAGTAGAAGGCAAAAAGACATCCCTTGATTCTTCACCGAGGAAGCAAAAGGGCAGTGCTTTTGACATTTATGAAAGCGGGATCACAGTCTTGTTGGTTGGAAATGCTGAAAGAAGGCTTTGGTTGAGAATAGACTGTTTTAGACAGGAGGGTAGCCTGTTAGATTAATTTATAAGTGTAATCTCTAAAACCTGTTATGATTTTGTTTTATATGTAACTTTTCTGTTTCCATTGTCCTTACTTGCTATCTCTTAAATCTTAGCCTTTGATAATAATCTGATTATTGTTTTCACTGTAAATATATTTCAGTGCTAAGATGTTATACAGGAGCTGACTTTCAGTTAAATCAAACTTGTGTATACACTCTCCTCTTGGGGATAGTGAACCTGGTATTTCTGTGAGTGTCCAGTGGTTAAGGGCTGGACACTACAAGGAGATGATTCAAAGAGGACTGCAATGCAAAGTAGAAGCTAGTATAAGCCCAGAGAAGTGATGTTGGGTGGCTGAAGGGCTGGCAGTGTCAAAGACACTCCCTGCCTCTGTGAGGGGGAAACAAGGTGACACAATCCTGGGCACCCTGAGAAAGGGTCACAGTGACCTTGGGCAAAATACTCATTTTTGGTTTCCCTTTGTGAAAAGGAGATAACATGATCCTATGTTACGGGGTGGTCTTTGAGATCTGTAGATGGGAGCTGAAAGCTGTTAAGTTTTTTTCTTGAAACAGCTAATTAGTAGCCTTCCAGTAGCCTTCTGGAACATCTTGAATTCAGGTTGGTTGTGTTGTATGCTGCTGCTACTTTTCCCCCATGCATGTTTTGTTGCTAAAGATATTTACTTGAAAATGGAGAATTTTCTCATTACCATGATCTTATAATGTGCACCGTTTGAGAAGGTCCTTGAACTGAGCCACATTGAACTCACTGGGATTCTTTGCTGGTGCAGAGATCTGCCCATGCTAAGCTAGTTGCAGGATTGGAACCTAAATGTCCAGCAGGCCCCCACACTTAATGTGTGGTACAGCCAGATATAAACTTCCTTTTCAGTATCTCAGTCATTGCTTCTAGCTATTGATTTCATTTCTGTTCATAATGCAGTGCAAAAGTGAGAGCTTATAGTCATATGCACAAGTGTCCACTTAGGGGCCAATATGTCACCTTCACTCCTGTTCCACAATAGACCTGGGGTCAAAATTTTGGCCACCCTAGTCAAAACCTAGTAGCATGCTAGTGTGTGAACTTACCTAACTGTAGAAATTTTATATGGAGGATTCCTGTGCAAATTACATTTTCTTCAACTCATCTATTTTTCCTCTATGACTTGCTCCATAGAGAGAGTTTTATATTGAAATACCACCACTTCTGTAGCATACAATTGGGGTTAGCTTTAGGAGTCCTGCTGTCCTAGGCAAAACAACAAATACCTTTACCAGCCTGCAGTAACCCACCTGTTACTGAATGTTTTACTACTTTTTTTTTTGGTCCGCATCGCAGAGTTTCTCCTGTACATAATCACTGCAGATGGGAAAAGGACATAATAATATCCTGGTTTAATTTCGCAGCTCCAGTACGACATGGAAGCCATGGAAAAAGAATGTTTGTCATCAAGCCAACAGATTTCTATGATCAACGATTTCTGCACTTACTGGTAAGTTAATTTTTTGTTGTTGCAACTCTTAGTATAACTTAAATAATTTGTAAATGATGGACTGTGTTTAAGGCATTAATTCATTTTGGATGCTATTGCATTGTAAACAATAGGAATGAATGTATTGGGCACTAGCTACACAAACAAGATTTCCTAGTCCCTATCCTGAAGAACTTGCCATTTATAAAGACAAAGATAGATGGGGCAAAGGGATATGTTATACCAGCCAAGTGCTCAGGGTGGTGATTGACATCTATTATGTTAGTGACCTTTTTTTTTAATTGTGTGTATGTGTGCGATATATAAATGAACAGTTTCTCCTTTTTAAGCTATTTTTAGTTAACTGCTACTTTTTTATTGTTGCGGTTTTAAATCCTTTCTTGTTGTCTTTTTAAATTTTAACTGTCATCTGTTTTGCAGGTTTAGTAATGTTTTAGCTGTTGGCTGTTTAAGTTGTGTAAAACTTGGCTCCAAGTCCAGGAGCCCTTCATTACTACCCCATAATAAGTGTATCTTCCTTCCATCCAGCCCACCCACACCAGAGATTTAGGCTCTGTAGGCCTGATCCAAAGCCCATTCAAGTCAGTGAAAAGATGGGCTTCTGATCAGATCAATTATGTGGGGAAAATAGTCAGCCAGGTGGGACTCCTTGGAGTGAGGGCCCTGCAATCACTGGACATTGTTGTATCTTTTTAACAGATTTTGTATAAAATATTAATTCTTAGCTTGCAATGGGTTTTTTAAAAATTGCATTTTGACTCAAGTTCAGTCAAAGGTAGTTTTAGTGCTCAATGATAGTTAATCAACTCCAGGCTTTGAGTAATATTGTTTTACATAGCAACAGTATTGCCTAGTAGTTAGAACAAGAGACTGGGATGGAGAACTTATATGTTGCATTCCCAACTCTGAAACTGATTCAACTTTATAACTTAGTCAAGTCACTTATTTTCTCTGTGCCTCAATTTGCTGTGTTGTAAAAATGGGATCAATACATGTATCACCTGGGTTTTGAGACATGTTTATTGTTTTTTGAAATGCTTTGAGATCCTTAGCTGGAAACATTAAGTATTCCAGTTGCAGCAATAATCCATATTTGATGGTATACAGAAGAAATATTGTGGAAGTTCAGATTTTGGTGTTCTAATACAGGAGAGATAATGTAAGAGTAACTGAGATTTGCAGAAGAAGTGGTATATTTTTCTGTCAGACTAATCTGGTGTCTTTTTCCCTCCTCCTGCTAAACAGAGATTCTATATTTTATTGACTGGGATACCATTAGCAATAATTATAACGTCTGTCAACATCTTCATTGGTAAGCACTTCTGTGATGTTTAACTAAACTACATTGTTAAAGGTGGATAAAGAAAATGAAATAGGTCTGATAGTATTTCAGACCCTTATCTCTAAAGCTGGCTTGGTAACTATGGGTCATATTTAAGGCTGCATGTCTGTCATGGAAGTCACAGATTCTGTGACTTTCCATGACCTCGGTGATTTCTGCAGCAGCTGGTGCGGTTGGCTTTGGCAGCCCCTGGGCCAGCCGCACCAGCCTCTGCTGGGGCAGTCTCTGGCCGCCACCCCCTCTCCCCCAGCAGCAGTAGTTTGGGTGTGGGAGGGGGCTCAGGGCTAGGGCTGGGGCAGGGTGTTGGGGTGTGGGGCAGCGCTTACCTTGGGGGGCTCGAGGGGGAGGCCAGGAGGGTTCCGTGCGCTGCCCCCACCAAGAGCGCTGGCTCTGCAGCTCCCATTGGCTAGGAACTGCAGCCAATGGGAGCTGCGGGGGTGGTGCCTGCAGGCAGGGACAGCGCGCAGAGCCCCCTGGCCCTTCCACCTAGGAACTGCAGGGACATGCTAGCCGCTTCCAGGGAGCCATGCAGAGCCTGGTAGGGAGCCTGCCAGTCCTGCCAGCTCCCCCCACAGCCCCCAGCACCAGCGGGGGTCCCGGGCTGTGTGCTGCTGCCCTCCACCCCACACCAGCAGGGGTCCCAGGCTGCCCCCCCCCCCCCCTCAGCACCCATGGCTCCCCCCAGCACCCGCAAAGCTCCCCGGGACCATGCCCCCCCAGGCAGCACCCATGGCGTCCCGGCCCAAGTTTTAGTTAGAGGTATGTAGTACAAGTCATGGACAGGTCACAGGCCATGAATTTTTGTTTACTGCCCGTGACCTGTCCATGACTTACTAAAAATACCGGTGACTAAAACGTAGTCTTAGTCATGTTGTGTAAAAATATACTGAAGGTGAGAATCCCGTAGCTGACCTAACATCTCTTCCTTCTCATCCTGTTTTATAAAATGCAGGGACGCTTCAGAGAATTGATCAGGAGTTATACATGTGTCTATTCTCCATTTGATATTCTTGTGCCAATCATATTTGCCTCAGTGATGTTTATGTACGTGCACAGTAGAGCTGCCCACATAATGAAGAGGATAATGTTTTCTGTCTGGATTTAAACATATACCTTGTGTATATTCCAAGATAGGTGTACAGAATATACATTTAACAGGACATTGCCAATTTAAAATCAAAATTCTTCCTGACTTTTTTTTTTAACCTACAATGTAATTAACCTTAGATTGCATTAATTGAATGATCAGAGAAAAATGTATTTAATTTTTTTTCTAGCTTGTTTACTTTGTGATGGCGCTTTGGGTACAGTCAGTTTCACTCTTTCCTCTGTATAGTCAGTCATTTCCCCTTTTTGTTGTGTGGGTTAAAATATAGGCACATGTAACTGTAGAACAGAATTGGCGGGAGGACTCAGAAGCAGGTATAGTACCTGAAACTACTTCCAGGCTGTGCCAGCTCCCTTTTTTTGAAACCGAATAGAATCAAATTGATGGTGTCTCTTTAAATACTTTGTGTGTGAAATGCTCTTTAATTGGTCTTTATTTGTATGAGGAAAGTAAAGTGTGTTTCTAAAATGTCAGTAGTATTGAACATCCCTGCGTTTTCTCTTGGCAGGTGAAGCTGAACTTGCAGAGATTCCAGAAGGTTATGTTCCAGAGCACTGGGAGTATTACAAAGTGAGTACAAAATTATGAAAGGGATATGGCATTTCCAGCGCACTCCTTCTCATCATACGTCAATGTTGGGAGGAAAATATTTAAAATGTGTTGGATATATTAATGAGGATATCTGCTACTTTATGTGATTGGGTCTTCATGCAAATGTACAGTTTTCAAATTAAATACATGTTATTTTATTAGACCTGTTTATGGTATTCTAACAGTAACAGATGCAACTGACCTGTAATGTAAATAGTAAGAACACTGTACGTGAAGTTGTGAACATAAAATCCATAAATAACAAAAGCGCTCTGACCAAGTCAAGATCTAAATCTCTTTTCTGGTCACCAGTCCATCAGGGGTTTTTTTGTTTGTTTTTTGAACACTCCTCTGAGCTCCAGGTCTTGAGATACTAGACTTTAAAATTACGTTGTTTATCCCATCTGAATGACTTTCAATGAATACCAGGAAATTCATACTTTTATAGTAGGGCTGTCAATCACAGTTAATACCTGTGATTAAGTGAAAACAAAATTAATGCATTAATTTTTTTAATGGCGTTAATCACATACCTCTGGGTGAGGAGGGAGGCATCAGCTGTGGAGGGACCTGACAGTGTCCGGTCAGGCACAGTAATGCCAATCCGCCTCCGGAGGGCAGGGAGAGGAGAGGAGAAGCAGTGGCTCCCATCCCAGCTCCAGTGGAGAGGTAGGTATCCTGACCCTGCCATGCCCCACTACTCCAAGCTGGCCCCTTGCTCCAGAGATGGCCCCACCCCTCCCCGCACTGTGCCCCAATGCCCCTAGCCAGCCCTTCACTCCAGGGACCAACCTCCCCAGACGCTGTGCTCCATTGCCTCCAGCTGGCCCCTTGCTTCAGGGACCAATCCCCTCTCCCCCCCATTTTCCCCCATGCCGTGCCCCATTGCCCCCAGCCAGCCCCTTGCTCCAGGGACCAACACCCTCCCCCCAGTGCTCCCCATTGCTCCCAGCTGGCCTCTCACTCTGGGGGGTACCCCATAGAGAACCGGGGCCTGCTGAGCTCAGCCTCCCTGTACTAGCCTCTCCTCCCATGCTGCATGCTGAGTCCCTGAGGTAAAATATACCCTCCCTTGCAAACAAGGGCTCACTCAGCTGAAGGGAGCCCACCTCGCTCAGTAAAAGGAGGAGAGCCTAGTGAGCCCAGTACCAGAAACCACCCTTCCAGAAGCAGTAACAAGTCACCTCCCTCACCCTCCTCCTGCATAAGTCACTGCTTGCTTCCCCTCCCCCCGACATCATCACCCCCGTCCTCCCAGAACCTCCTCCTGCACAAGTCATTGTTTCTCCCCCCCTTCACCCATCCTCCTCCAACACTGACTGCAGATTTCTAAGATGAAATTCTCTTCCTCTTTGGATTGGGAACGAGCCTGGCAAGCTCAAAAACCCAACCCAACAGGAGCAACATCAAGAATTCACCCTTCTGCACAACTCACACCCCTCCCATCTCCACAAAACTGACTTTCTGAGATTAAAAAAAATCTTACCCCTTCAGTAAGCCAAGACTCCTCTCAAGGAGACACACACCAAATAGTATACATAATAAAGGCTAACCCAGCAGCACCAGGGAAAAAAAGCCTCCTGCATATTTCACTCCCCTACTGAATGCTACAATCCTGAGGTAAAATCATTCCCTATCCACAGCAAGGACTGAGTGGACTTGTAGGCTCTAAAGTTTTACATTGTTTTATTTTTGAGTGCAGTTATTAAAATAATAATACCTGTAATTCTGCATTTGTAAGTTAAACTTTCATGATAAAGAGATTGCACTACAGTACTTGTATGAGGTGAATTGAAATACTATTTCTTTATCTTATAGTGCAAATATTTGTAATAAAAAAGTGAGCACTGTACACTTTGTGTTCAGTGTTGTGATTGAAATTAATATATTTGAAAATGTAGAAACACCCCAAAATATTTAAATAACTGATATTCTATTATTGTTTAACAATGCGATTAAAACTGCAGTTATTCGCTATTAATTTTTTTAATCTCATGATTAATCATGATTAATTTTTTGAATCGCTTGACAGCTCTATTTTATAGTATTTGTCAGCAGTGAATCAAAGTCCAATTTCTCACAACTTTTCAGAGCTAAAAACAAAGATTTTGGTGAGAATCACAGCCCTGGTGGCTCATGAGATGTTACTTTACAACTGTCACTGATTTTTTGATGTAGCTATATTTTTCTTTTTGTTTTTAACTGGCTAATGATTGTACATAGCAATACACAGACCTCTATCTGACTAGTTCAATTTACACTCGGATTGAAAGATTAGATAAAAGCTTCCATGTGCAAGCAGCACTTAATATAAAGATTACTGAATCTTTACAGTAATAGGTTTGGAGTCCATTTTATGGAGATTATGGTAGCAATTTTTGATTAACTCTATTTCAGAAATTGTCTTACTTTGTTCTTAAAATATCAAACACAGATTTTCCCCCATGGTAACTGTTCTTTTTTTTTTTTTTAATTTCCACAACAGCCTATTCTATTGTGTGTTATCTTGGATAATGTCAAAAATGGCAAATGGGTAACTTTTTTCATAGGCCCCGATCCTGCAAACATTTACTCATGTGCTAAACTGTGTAACTGTGAGTAATCCTGCTTAAATTAGTGGTACTCATGATAGTAAAGTTAAGCACATAAGTATTTGCAGAATTAGGGGTATGCAGCCTAACATAATTTTTAATTGCACTTTATCACGGTAAGTGGTACTAGAAAGGGAAATTTGATCACATTAAATATTCTATCATTATTATTTGTGGAGGGTTCTTGTGTGGAAATTATATGAATAATCTAATATTCTTATTTTCATCTCTTCCAGCATCCTATAACTAGGTGGATTGCTCGTTATCTCCTTGATTCTCCTGAAAAGGAATATGAAAAAATGTTGGCCTTAATTGATATTGAAGCTAAAAAAGCTGACCTAAGGTAAAGATAGGATGGGTTTGCTGAAGCTTTTAAAAGCCAATATATACTGTACTAAACCATTTCAATTATAATACAATAGTATAATTTTTCTCTTAAATTGGACATCTGATCAGGGCTTGAAAAAATCACCTGGCCCTTGGTGAGTGAGAAGCTTTTTGTGGCAAATATTGGTTCTAAACCATCAGTTTCTACAGAATGTAACTTTAGTTTAAAAAAAATAATAATTGTAACAATAACTCTTCAAACACAAACCAAGTGTAAACCAATGCAGTTTTATCTTCCTGAGTCAGGGACAGACAACTCCTGTGCCTCTGCTAATGCTTATAGATTTGGTCTGGTTCATTGCTTCTGTCCAGAAAACCACGGGCACCAGTGACATTGTCCATTATCATGTTAGTGTCATGCTGCTGTTGCTTGGGTAAATTGAGCACTAACAGAGGAGGTGCTAAGCTTCTTGGAATGTTGCCCCTAGACTTTCTTGGTGGAACCCCTCCCACCTTCATCTTTCCTGGTTATTTCTGACTGGAAGGAATCTGGTAAAGTTTTCAGTTCATGATTATGAAGGAGACTACTGTCTATGTTTAGAAATCTCATCAGGTTTTTTATTGTTGTTATTTTATTATTTCTTCAGCTAGTTTACTGAAAAAACAAGTAAATACACCTCTATCCCAATATAACACGACCCGATATAACACATACAATGCGGTAAAGCAGCGCTCCCGCAGATCAGCGCATCAGCTCCCAGCTGGGGTGCTCCGCTTCCTGCCGCCGGTGAGTGCAGGGAGGTTGGGGAAAGGACACCCCCCTGTACTCACCTGCAACGGGAAGCGGAGTGCTGCAGCTGGGAGCTGGCAGAGTGGAGCGGGCTGGGGACCGGCTGCTCTGCTTCCCGCTGCCGGTGAGTGCTGGACCTTTCCCCAACATCCCCCACCCCCCACCTCGACACAGCTGGGGCCAGGGCAAGGAAAGCGGAGCGGGCTGGGGCTGCATCGCTCCACTTCCCGCCACAGGTGAGTACGGGGGGCTTCCTTTCCCCAATCTCCCTGCACTCAGCGGCAGAAGCGGAGCGCCGTGGCTGGGAGCTGGCGGAGTGGAGCGGGCTGGGGCCGGGCTGCTCCGCTTCCCGCCGCTGCCAGTGAGTGCCTGTCAGGGGGTAGGGGATGTGGATAGGGGTCGGGGCAGTCAGGGGACAGGGAGCAGGGACTTTGGGTAGGGGGTGGGGTCCTGGGGGTGATTAGGGACGGGGTCTCTGGAGGGGGCAGTCAGGGGACAAGGAGCAGGGGGGCCAAAGCAAGTTCGATATAACGTGGTCTCACCTATAGCGTGGTAAGATTTTTTGGCTCCAGAGGACCGCGTTATATCGGGGTAGAGGTGTATAATGAAACACAATGATGGAATATTTAACACCATGGATAATTCTTCATATTTGTCGTATTGTTCCCATGGACATCGTAGAATGTATAGGACCAAATGCAATGCTGGTGTAAGAGGGTATGACTCCTTTGATATCAGTGTTAAATGTGGCCCATGGAAGCTGATAAATTACATGCTAAATTTGACTTTCATTTTCCATTTCTTACAGGCTGAAGGAATTGGAGGCACGTCGACTAATGAGACAGAGGGGAGATGGGCCCTGGTATTACTATGAGACCCCTGATAAAAATCTTATTGATCATTCTGCTAAAGCATCTCCTGACAATTAAGCAGTTAGTCCACTGTTCCAAAAGAGCACCCACAAATAGCGACTGAATAATGTAATGTGTATCCTGTTGTTTCTTGCTGACTTAAATAAAAGTTTCTATTTCAGTATTTTTCAGTGTTGATTCTAGTAAGTTTTTAAATAGACAAACTTGTTGCTAATCATGTACAGCTGCAAAATGTGTACAGATGGAGAGAATGGCTCTCATGTCAGTTGCTAATAGTTTGTCTGTTTCCCAAGGGTGTCAGTAGGTGATACTGGTTTTGTAACACATTTTCCCCCCCAGAGGACAGTGGTCACCAGCAGGGCCGGCTCTAGGATTTTTGCCGCCCCAAGCAAAACAATTTTTTTTTTGCCCCCCCCCCCCTCCAGTTTTTTTCTTAACCCACCCCCGGCCCCGCCTCAACTCCGCCCCTTCCCCAAATTCCCAGCCCTGCCTCCTCCCCCCAGGCTCTCAAGCCTAGGAGGGAGGGGGAGAAGCAGCGCGCGCGCCGCGGCCACTTGGGGTGTCCCCCTCCTTCCCAGGCTCTCAAACCTGGGAGGAAGGGTTAGCAGCGGTGCGCCAATCAGGTGTTTCACGCGCTGCGGACGCTCGGGATCTCCCCCTCCCTCCCAGGCTCTCAAACCTGGGAGGGAGAGGGAGAGGCGGCGCGCGAATCAGCTGTTTCACGAGCCG